CCATGGATCACAGATGAGTAAATAAACATATTTTATTTAAGTAGTTTTAAAAAATTATTTATTTTATTTTTTAATTTTTAAAAATTATACTTTAAGTTCTGGGGTACATGGACAGAATGTTTAATACATGTATTTAAATAACTATCTAATGATGTATTTTATGTAAATATTTAACAATAAATTATTTAATTTAAATAAATAATTATACAAATGCTTAATAAATTTAATTTAAATAAATATTTAATAATAAACAGGCCAGGTACGGTGGCTCACACCTGCAATCCCAGCACTTTGGGAGGCTGAAGCAGGCAGATCACCTGAGGTCAGGAGTTTGAGACCAGCCTGGCCAACATGGTGAAACCCTGTGTATAATAAAAAAATATATATATGAAAGTTAGCTGGACATGGTGGTGCACACCTGTGGTCCCGGCTACTCGGGAGGCTGAGGCAGGAGAATCGCTTGAACCCAGGAGGTGGAGGTTGCAGTGAGCTGACATCATACTTTTGCATTCCAGCCTGGGCAACACACTGAGACTCCATCTCAAAAAAAAATTAATAATAAATAAATTCATTTAAATACTAAATAAACGGGGCATGCATTGGAGCAGCAGTTTTGGGTTTGTCATTCGCAAAACAGTGTTCTTGGGCTGAGGGGCTGTGATGCTCATGTACTGCTGAAGTGGTGGAGTAGACTACTCCTGTAACAGGAGCTCATTAATTGGAAACAGAGGAAGTCAGTGTTCGCTTTTTGTTTCATTTTTGTAAACTGTATTTACTGTAAGTTTTGTCCCCCTCTACTGGCAGAAATCATTATTGCAGATGACATTCCTTCCGTTGATCTGAGAATTTTAGCATGAAAAATCACATCTGTAATCCCAGCGCTTTGGGAGGCTGAGGCAGGAGGATCGCTTGATCCCTGGAGTTCAAGACCAGCTGGGCAATGTAGCAAGACCCTGTATCTACAAAAGTTTTTTAAAAATTCTCCAGACGTGGTGGCACACGCCTGTGGTCCCAGCTACTTGGGAGGCTCAGTTGGGAGGATTGCTTGGGCCTGGGAGATTGAGGCTGCAGTGAGCTGAGATTGTGCTACTGCACCCCAGCCTGGGTGACAGAGCGAGGCCGTATCAAATTAAAAAAAAAAGACCTTAGGTCACAAACCTAAGCCACTGATGTTGTCACTCATTTGTGCATAAAGTTAGCACAAATACGACAAAGCCTTTTGTGTCTGTGTGTAATCCATTGTCTAAAATCACTCTGTACATCTTTTTGGGCTTTATGTTTTGACCAACAGGACTCTGAAGGGGTGTGCATGTGAGTGGAAAAACTCAAACCCTGTTTCTCCTCTGTTCTCATACCACACCACAGTCATCACAGAAGACTTCTGTGGCCAAATTTGTGGGGGCTTTCCACACCAAGCCCCGGCTGGGTGTCCTTGAATTCAGCTCTGACGCTGTCCAATGGGAGGTAGCCTCAGATCTGACAGATGGAGGGCTCAGTCCCCAAGCCTGTGCTCCTCCATCCGCACCGGTCACAAGCGTAGGTCTCTGGAACTTCTGACCAACTGGCTTCAAGTTGGTGTTCCCACCATCCCTTTTGGGGGTTGATTAATTTGCTAGAGCAGCACACAGGAGTTAAGGAAACACTTAATTTTTACCAGTTGATCACAAAGGATATGTAAACAGAAAAACCACACTCTGTAAAATATCTTAAAGAGGTTTATTTGGAGCCAGTGTGAGTGACCATGGCCCCGAGAAAGCACAAACCCAAGAAGCTGTGAGTAAATGGCCCCGAGGGGGTCAGATTACGGTTTGGGTTGATGCTATTGCCACTGCGTCTGGCTGGGCCTGTCATTGTGGGCGGTAAAGGAATTTACCAAGACAGTCGTAGGTAAAGAAAGGCAGATTTGGCCGGGCATGGTGGCTTGCGCCTGTAATCCCAGCACTTTGGGAGGCCAAGGTGTGCAGATCACCTGAGATCAGGAGTTCAAGACCAGCCTGGTCAACATGCTGAAACCCCGTCTCTACGAAAAATAAAAAATTTGCTAGGTGTGGTAGCACGTGCCTGTAGTCCCAGTTACTCGGGAGGCTGAGGCAGGAGAATCGCTTGAAACTGGGAGGCAGAGGTTGTAGTGAGCCAAGATCATGCCATTGCAGTCCAGCCTGAGTGACAGAGTGAGACTCCGTCTCAGAAAAAATGGTGGGGGGAGGGCAAATTTATTAGCGAAAGTATGAAGGTAATGTTGCAAGGGTGCAGTGGCCAGCACAGCAGAGAAGAGGCTGTCGGCCAAGAGACGGGGACAGGAGGGAAGCTTTATTGGGTCATGCTGCTGGGGCTATGTACAGAACGAGGTGTTTGGGAGCAGGAATCATGCCAGCAGGTTGTCTGTGATGAGCCATTTCTCAGAACAATTATTCTCCCCTCCCTGGGACCTCTTCCGCGTTGTAACTTATCAGGATTCCATGTATACGTTTTCAGGAGACAGGAGTTACAGGAAAAGAAACCCAATACATAGAAGCTTGGCCAAAAAAGGCGGGATATCTTGAAATGAGGGGCTTACAAGTCTTAGGTATGTCTTAGGGATTCTTTAGTTGGCAATTGGTTGAGAGAGTTAAGTTTTGTCTAAAGACTGAAGGTCAGTTCAAAGGAATGCTTAATGTAAGGGATCTGCTGTCTGCCATGTGATGCTATACCAGTGTCAGGTTAAAAAGTAAGCCACGTTATACCGGGCTAACTAAAAATAAAACAGTTTAACCAGATTTTATTGTTTGTCGGATGTGACTTAACCCTTGCTATGCACATCTTTAGGTCATGTTTATAATTTGGTATCTTAGTACCACAAGGAGTCTGTTCTGTCAGTCTTATAATCTTGTTTTAATAACAATGCTGGTCAGTTTTGCCTAAACTCTAAAAGAGAGGGGCTGTGATGATGCCTGTCCCACCTCCCTTCCTGCTAGCACTAAAAACTCAGTCCTTCAGGTTTCTCTGAAGTCCCTTTGGACACTGAGGCCGGGGAAGAAATCACACAGGCTATGCTGGATGGGTCAGAGCGCGGGAGCATGAGAGAGAAGTCTAGCCTGTGTACGGGTGACTCCAAAAACACCAGCTTCCAGAGCTGGCCCTCTGGGAAATCAGAAAACCACTAAACATTTCTAAACAGGCAGATTTCTAAAATCCAAGCACACAGGACACCAAAGAAGCAGGAAGATAGCCCGACCGTGGCATGTGCATAAAATCACGAAGACATGAGCCCCAAATCTTAGCAGTGAACATGGGAAGGAATGAACAGCTCTAGGGATCAAGCAGAAAGACCTAGAAGCCAGACAGACACAAGAGTAGCTGGGATTACAGGTGTGCACCACCATATCTGGCTAATTTTTGTGTTTTTCTTAGTAGAGACAAGGTTTCACCATGTTGGCCAGGCTGGTCTTCAACTCCTGACCTCAAGTGATCCACCTGACTCGGCCTCCCAAACTGCTGGGATTACAGGTGTGAGGCACCATGCCTGGCCAACAAATAGCATTTTTGATGACATAGTATCTTACCACAGCTGTAGAAGCTAAGGCCTGGCATCCCTAGTTGCAGGCTCAGGGGTCTGTCATGGGTTTGGTGTGGGGTGATGCCACGTATCCCTGGAGAGGAATCCTGCATCCAGCAGTTTGAGTGGGGATGTTTTTGAAAAGCCCTTTCTCCCTCAGTTTTGTGCCCCATTACTTCCCTTGACCACTTCTTTCTAGAAATTCTTTGTTCCCTTGGCTTCTATTACATGGAACTTTCCAGATTCTTCCGTTTCTCTGAAATCACATTCTATTTTCTTCCTTGCTTTCTTTTTCTCTTCTTAGCCCCAAACTATTAGATGTTCTCCAACACTTTATCCACAGAATCTGTATTTATGTTGAAAAACTGAACTCCCTTACTGTCAACTTTGTGGGGGTGGTTCTTGAAGTCACATCTGAGCCTGCACATTCCCCCAGGCCATGGTCCCCCATCTCCAGCTACACCAAGCTGACATCCTTTGGGGCCTCAAATTAAGCGTGTTTGAAATGAAGCCTGTCATTTTGTCTTGAGCCATCATTGCTGTGTGACTTGCCTCTTTCCCTTGGTGTCACTTCCACGCTTCACGATGCCCTGCCCAAAAATGTACGTCCTCATCGGCTGCTTTCTCTTCCTTTGTCTCTTGTGTCTGTCTGACTTCTAGGTCTTTCTGCCTGATCCCTAGAGCTGTTCATTCCTTCCCATGTTCACTGCTGCCTGATCCCTAGAGCTGTTCATTCCTTCCCATGTTCACTGCTGCCTGACCCCTAGAGCTGTTCATTCCTTCCCATGTTCACTGCTAAGATTTGGGGTTCATGTCTTCATGATTTTATGCACATGCCATGGCTGGGCTGTCTTCTTGCTTCCTTGGTGTCCTGTGTGCTTGGATTTTAGAAATCTGCCTGTTCAGAAATGTTTAGTGGTTTTCTGATTTCCCAGAGGGCCAGCTCTGGAAGCTGGCGTTTTTGGAGTCATCCGTACACAGGCTGGAGTTCTCTCTCATGCTCTTGCGCTCTGACCCATCCAGCATAGCCTGTGTGATTTCTTCCCCAGCCTCAGTGTTCTCTGGTTCCTGATATGATGTAGAACATGCTCTTTGTAGCCTCCTCTTTCTGCTTCCAAGTCTTGTCTGTCCTCAAGGCCTGGCTCTGGTCCCCATGACCCTATAAAGAATATCTTGCTCCTGCCACATGGCACGTGGTGTGCTGCTGTGACAGCGGGTCAGGTGTTGTCTTAGGCACTAGCTGTTTAATCCTTGTATTCTTGTTTAATCTTTCACAAGTGTGTGTCTTCTTCTCAAACTCTGGGAATAAACAGAACCTGGCATGCAGTCCATGTTTCAGTGACGCTTCTTGGATTGGAGTGGTGGAATTGCCAGCACAGTCTTGGGTCAGAAGTTGTGTTCCTCTCATGAGCTTTGGATTCGGGGTTAACAATCTTGTGTGTGTGTGTGTGTGTGTGTGTTTCAGCTGCAGGTCCCTAGTGTGAAGGGTTTCGATTTTGCTAAGCAGCATCTGGGTCAACACAATAAAGACGACATATTGATTATTCATGAGCCAGCGCCACTGCCAGGACCTGTGAAGGACCACACCACGCCCTCGGAAAATGGAGACGTGCCAAGCCCCAAGTCAAAGATCCCGTCCAAGAACGTCCGTCACAGAGGAAGGTTATTACTGGGCTTTCTGTATTGTTCTCGGTTGCAGGCATGCTCCTGATTAGACTATCAGTTTCCGATGTCACAAGGGCTGATGGTGAGTCCAGCCCTGCCTCTGCAGCCTGGGAGACCGATGACTTGCCCAAAGTCACACATGAGCCCAAGAATGTTTCCCAGCCACTCCCACGGGCTGCCAAAGAATGCTGTGTGCTTTCTTTCCCCACACGGTTGAAGATCATGAATCACTGTCTGTGATAGTTTGGCGGCCCCTGTCAGACTTCATTAGGGATTGACCAGCTCACATGTATATATTCCGAGGGGAGCATGCTAGGCCCCGTGGAGATAATATCAGCAATAACACATAAGGAGTGCACGGCACCCAGTACACGCTCAGCCTGTGTGAGCCTCTGTGTCCATGCCTGGGATGCCAGCAGCTGCTGTGACTGCATTGCTTTGTCTGCAGGTGACCTTCATCATGTCCTCCTGTGTTATCTTTGTCTTCCTCTGGCTGCTCATGTGTGTCACCCTTGTTAGGATATCACACAGGACTCTTCATCACTGCCTCCCTGCCCTGCTCCCCATTCCCAATTCATTTCCCTTCCTCCTCTTAAAGTATAGCACGTAGAGAATTGCTCGTTAATTTTCCAAACTACCTGGAAGCCCCTCATCACCCTCTGACCCCGTGAGAAGGGCTGTAGCACTCTGAAAGAAGACACAGTTCGGAATCAGGTGTGTTCAGTTGACTCCTGATCACAGGCTTTGGCTACTGAAGCCTCCTGTTGTCAGCCTTTCTTTGAGCTTTGGAACTCTAAATCCTGATTTCCTGCTAAGAGCAAAAAAAGTGTGTGATCATACCAACATTTGAAACGATGTCATGATTTCTGTCTTATCAGAAAACCTACCCCAGGGGTTCTGGCCTAGTTTTAAGAATCTAATAGATGTCAGAACATGATCTTTACAAAAGAAAACGAGTTATGTAGAGAGATGCGCTTTGCTTAATGATTTTGCTGGCTAGGAATAAATGGAATCATTGAAGATTATTTAACATGCAAGTAAAATTTTGCAAAGTCTTTTTTTTCTTGCCTGGTCGTCTTGTCATTGACATTTAGTCACGGCGGCTCAGTGGTCTGTGTGGTTAATACGATGTTTTAGCGTCTTTCGGAGCACCAGCATGTCTTGGCATTTCACATTGTCATTGAAGCCAGGGAGCCTAAGGAATCAGGGAGCTAACTGATGAAGGATTTTTCCCTGGTGCAAGCTGGGTGCCACGATCCCCTTGCTTTTTATATATAGAATCAAATCCCAGTATAAGCACGTCCCAAAGATCTGGAGTTATTTGGGGGTGACTGCAGGGCTATGCCAGCTTCCTGGGCATTCTCCAGATCTAGTTAATCCTGAACCCCAAGTCGTCTTTGATCCAACTCATGCTAAACCCAGACTGCTGGTCCAGAAATGACAGGGCCAGGGGCTGGGCCTTGAGCCCTGGTGGCTGTGGGACCTTCCTGCTGTCTGGCACTTGTTGAAATGCAGCCTGCTGATGCATTTAGTAAGCTGCATTAATCTGTCTTCAGGAGGTGACTATGTGGTGTTAATGTCATCCTTGAAGACACCGTGCTGTGGAATAATTTTTCTGACTGTTTCATTTCTGCTGGTTTTGCCTGGAAGTCCGACTTCCACACCCAAATTAATGTGACTTTTTCTTTTGCATTCTTTCTTGTTTCTGACGTTTGCAATTTGTTTTGTGCCTGCAGGGTTTCTCCCTCAGATGCTGACTCTACGGTCAGCGAAGAGTCCAGCGAGAGGGACGCAGGAGATAAGACACCGGGAGCCATCAATGACGGCGGGTCCCACAGAGCCCCACAGAGCGGTCTGTGACTCTTCTGGTTCTTCCCGCTATGAGAGTCCGAAGGCTGAGGCCTTACGCTACTTCAAATGCCAAACCCTTTAAAAAAATCTGTGAAATGGGGCATTCATCATTCCCATGGTTGCTCAGCACCAGTTGTCACCATCTAATGTGGTATTGGTGTCTGCTTTGGGGCTTGGGATTCACTGGGGGTACATGTTAAGGTGAATAGCCTGATTTCACTCTGGTTTAGAGTCCTCATGATTTACCTGTCCAGAGGTCAAGGAGGAAGTGCACTGAAACCAGAGTCTCAAAAACCACCCCCAGGATTCAGTAGCTTTCATAGGAGCCAGTTCAAGGATTCACAGCCGCCACTGTCAGGAAGTTGTTTGTTTATCATCGGCCCAAGTCCGTTATGTTTAGTCTTGTCCCTAGATCTTTCTTCCAGCAGGGGGTTAGTGTGAGCAGATGGTTTAGCATGTTTGTGTGTGGGGTCCCATATGGCTTCATAGGCCAGGTATGAGATGAGCCTCACTCCTGTTCCGTGAAGACTGATGCCCTGTCAGAAAATGAGACCTACAGGTCTTTAGGCTTGGGAGCATTTTTTTTTTGAATGACAGCACGGTAGCTTGTTTTTAGTGTAATAGATTATGTTAACTAGATGTGCTACTGCAGCTGTTGTATTTGCTGGAGGTTTATTTTGATTTAAGGATTGTATTTCAGTAATACAAAGATAATTGAGAGGCCTCAGAATGTTATTATTACTATTATTTTTTGAGACAGAGTCTTACTCTATCACTGAGGCTAAAGTGCGGTGGCGCAGTCCTGGCTCACTGCAGCCTTGACCTCCCAGGCTCAGGTGATTCTCCTACCTCAGTCTCCCCAGTAGCTGGGATTACAGATATGTGCCACCACATCCAGCCAATATTTGTACTTTTTTTATAGAGACAGGGTTTTACCATGTTGCTGAAGCTAGTCCTGAACTCCTGGACTCAAGCGATCCATCTACCTCAGCCTCCGAAAGTGCTGGGATTACAGGCATGAACCACCGCGCCCAGCCAGGATATTATTTTTAATAGGAATTTTTATACTTACAGTTTTTAATCATAAATTTCTGTGTATGGAAATGCAGCACAGCGTGAACTGTATTCTGGAAATGAACAGACTCTGGACAGAAGCCCAGGGGCCTCTCCTCTCCCTGACACGCTTGTGGCCTCATGGTCGCTCAGCCTCCGAGGCTCCGGCACTCGCCAGTCCTTGCAGTTCTTCCGGCTCCTCCCACTTGGTTCTTTTATAATCTTAAGGACGTCCCCTTAGAAAAAGGGAAGAGGTTTTTCTTTGGATCTAGTTTTACAAAATCTGAAAAATTATTTAGCACCGTGGTAACAGATGCTGTTTCAGATAGACAGGATTAGAATCTAGCTTTGGGAAAGAAATATTTCGGGGAAAAAAAAAGAGCTCTGGATTTTATCAAGTTCTGTTCATTGCTTATCTGAGCAAACCTTTCTTTCAGTGCCTGCGTTTAACTCCTTCTGATGGTATTACAACCAGTATGGTCTATAAGAACAGCAAAAATCAAACACCACTCTTGACATAGGTTCAGAATGCAGGCAGCCAGCATTATAGCTCTGGGGCCCAGAGTTGAATGTGAAGGAGACGAATTAGATGATTCTGTGACTATTAGAAGCTCAGATGCTGCTATTATAATTTGAAGAGATACCAGAATCTGTACATTATTTTCATGTTGTAGAAAGATAGTTTTCTCACTATAAATATCAATATACTTTGAAAACTTTGTTCACTTCTTGAAAGGTGCTATAAGATAGCTTTAATGCTGCCATGTAAGTATTTTATTGCTTGCATAGAAACTTAAACATCCTATTTTAAAATATTCTGAGTTTTTGTCCTAGCTTTGTTACTTTATTTTTTAATTTTTAAAAAAACTTTTGCTTTTTGAGACAGTCTTTCTCTGTCACCTGGGCTGTAGGGCAGTGACACGACCTTGGCTCACTGCAGCCTCTGCCTTTCAGGCTCAAATGATTCCCCTGACTCTGTCTCCCAAGTAGCTGGGATTATAGACATATGCCACCATGCCCGACTAATTTTTTTATTTTTAGTAGAGACAGGGTTTCTCCATGTTGGCCAGGCTGGTCTCGAACTCCTGGCCTCATGTGATCATCTGCCTCAGCCTCCCAAAGTGCCGGGATTACAGGCATGAGCCACCGCGTCCAGCCTATTTTATAATTCACATAAAAATCTTTCTTTTGTTGCCAGCCATAATGAAGTAAAGATTAATGGAGGCATAGGGCAGGCAGGTGCTTGAGACCTATTCTGGAGCCCTCTTCTGTGTTGCCCTGAGATCAGCGTTCCCTCTCACTCCTGCGGGTGGCACACCTACCGGCTCTCAGGCTTCTTGGCAAGGCTCTTGACAACTGTCCCAGGTCATGTGGCATATTGAGGACCCACCTTGCAGTGGAAGCTGAGAGAAGACTCTTGTTTCAGTTTTGGTAAATTGGAGGTTGTGCTTGATTCCTTTGCCAACTGACTGCTTTTGGAAGGTGACTAGACCATGACACGTACCCTCATGGCCATCCATGGAACCTTAAGAGATTATTTACTCAGATGTCACTGTGTTCACAGTTATTGCAGCTCTAGAATAACTCACATCCTAACCCCTGGTTACCCTTAGTGAAGACGGGACGGGAGAGGTGTGGTAGGAGTGTACTGCCATTGCTGTGTCTGTGCGTAATTGTAGTTTTTCTCTCTCTCCTCTTTGTCATCAGGAATGTACCAAGTAGGTAAGGATTGCACAATACTCAGCATTCTTTTATGCTCTCCTAAGATTGCATGTGTGCAAGTGTGATTTTCCAGTAGTTAAAACTTCATTCATTTGCATTCCACAAGTTCCAAATTCTGGAATTTCACATGCAAACTAAGTGACCGTTGACTTTTGCATGTGCTAAGGAGTTTGCAGTGCTCACTTAACCAGCATATATAAGAAAATCGAAACGCAACACAGAACATTAGCACGACCCCTGCGCAAGGATGACATGCAAATTTGGGAAGCATTCCATATTTCTTAAAAATGAAAGGAGTTTGCCAAATAGTTTAAATGAGATTGAGTTCATGTAACATTGAAGTTATTCAAGCAGTTTGGGAGAACCCATATGTAAAATGATTGAGTTCATAAAATATAATTCTCATCTTTTCATGAAGGCAGATTCCCAGAGACCTTTTCAAGGTAAAATGTTGTAAACATAGTGGAGGTGACTGTAGTCATTGAGTCATCCATTTAGCAAATGCTTACTAAATGTCTGTGCTGTAACAGGTGCTGGCGACACAGTGAAGATGAGACACGTGTGATTCCTGCCTCACAGGGTAGTAACGTAGGTTTCGCACATTGGTAAAGATGCGATTTTTCCAGCCTGGGCAACATAGTGAGACTCTGCCTCTACAAGAAATAGAAAAAATTAGCCAGGCATGGTGGTGTGTGCCTGTGGTCCCAGCTACTCAAGAGGCTGAGGTGGGAGGAGCGCTTGAGCCTGGGAGGTCGAGGCTGCAGTGAGCTGTGATTGCATCACTGTACTCCAGTCTGGGTGACAGAGCGAGACCCTGTCTCGGGGAGAAGAATGTGGATTGACTATATTTACTTGCAGATAATGAAATAAAGTTTCTTTAAAAATGCTCTCTTGCTTTGACATTTCAGTAATTCAGACTGAACTTTTCTCTTTCATTCTGCTTTGTTGGCATTATCCTATTCTATACAATCTGTATACGATTACATATTTTTTATTTTTATTTTTTTGCTTACCCTGTCTGGACTGCAGTGGCACAATCACAGCTCACTGCAGCCTTGACCTCTTGGGGTCAAGCAGTCCTCTCACCTCAGCCTCCTGAGTCGCTGGGACTACAGGAGCATACCACGCCCAGCTAATTTTTTATTTACTTTTTGTAGAGATGAAGTCTTGCCATGTTGTACAGGCTGGTTTTGAACTCCTAGGCTCAAGCAATCCTTCTACCCTAGCCTCCCAAAGTGCTGGGATTACAGGCATGAGCCACCATGCCCAGCCTTTTTCTTTAAGATTTTTATTTATCCTTTAACTGATGATTAAAAATCATATATATTTATAGTGTACAACATGATGTGCTTTTGCTTTTATTTTTAGTTGACACATAATACTTGCAAATATTTATGGGGGGACACTGTGATATTTCCATGTATGAATATACTGTGTGATGATCAAATCAGGGTAATTAGCGTATCTGTCACGACATACAAAGTTATCATTACCTTGGAAACATTCAAAATCTACTCTTCAAGCTAATTGAAAATATACAATAAATTAGTAGAGTCACCTTACAGTGCCTACAGTTGCTAGACCCATATTCCTCCTCTCTAGCTGTGCACTTTTATTTTTATTTTTTTGAGACACAGTCTCACTTTGTTGCTCAGGCTGGGATGCAGTGGTGCAATCATGGCTCACGCAGCCTTGACTTCACAGGCTCAGGTGATCCTCCTTCCTCAGCCTCCCGAATAGCTGGGTCTACAGGTGCACACCACCACGCCAGATAATTTTTTGTAGAGATGGGGTTTTGCCATGTTACCCAGGCTGGTCTAGAACTCCTGGGCTCAAGTGATCCTTCCGCCCCAGCCTCCCCAAGTGCTGGGAGTACAGGCAAGAGCCACCATGTCCAGCCTCTAGTTGTGTTTTTGTATCTGTTAACCAACCTTTGTCTTTGTCCTTCCCCTTCGCTTCCCAGCCTCAGGTAACCATGAGTCTACTCTCCACTCTAGATCAGCTTTCTAGCTTCCACATATGAGCGAGAACAGTGCGCTGTTTATCGTTCTGTGCCTGGCTTATTAATGTCATCCAAGCTCGACCATATTGCTGCAAATGGCAGGATTTCATTCTTTTTTATGGCTAAATGGTGATGTTTTGATATATGTATGTATTATGGAAGGGCGAAATCAAGCTATTTACCATATGTATTACCTCAAGTGCTTTTTTTTTGTGATAGCACTTAAAATCCACTCTCTTAGCTGTTTTCAAGTATACAGTATATTGTTATTAATTATAGTTACTACGAGGTGCAATAGGTATCTTGACTATATAGTAAAATTTATATCATTACTGTTAAAAAATAATTGAAGAGAAAGGGGTTTTAATCCCAAGTTCTTACTTGCCTTAAGGCAGAATTCACACAGCATTAATCTCTGTGTGTCCACTATACTTTGTACTAATCATTATTATACAAGTAGCTTTTTTAGAAACATTGTGCATTGCATAGCAAACAATATATATTATGTAATTATAACATATATATTAATATATGATATATAAATATATCATATTATATATAATTATTAATATAATAGTTATATATTACTAATTATACTATATTATATGTTATATATTTATATAATATATATTTACATTATATATCGTTCTACAAACCAAAATATACAATCGTAATATATGTGATATAATTATATATGTGTGATATATAACATATATTATATGTATATGTTAAAAAATTAAAAGCCCCTCTTTTCAGCCATGCTGCCTAGGCTCCGGGCAGTATGGAAGCTGGAAGATTTTCTGCACCTCTGATTTCCTCTCCTCCGCTTAGCCCCTCAGCTCTGTAGAGTGGCCTGAGGTCTGTGCATCCCCTCCTTCTCTGCTTGCAGTCTGTGAACAACTAAGTGAGAATGAAGCAAGGACCGTGACTGCAGTGGGGACGGGGTGGCCGGGCTGTGGACAGGAGTCCAGTGTCAGGCTGCAGCTCCAGTGGTACCCAAGCAGGGCTGACAGCACCACGGGGAGGGGCCTTTTTTGTTTTTATGCCTGTCACCCTTGTCTCTCCGCAACTCAGAGGTCTCTGCCACCCTGGAGGAAAGTGATCCCACCTCTAGGTATCAATAGCTTAATGGGCTACCCTCTGTGACATTTGCTGTTACTCTATAGTCTGGGTTAGCAGGGCTAGCCTGTCGGCGAAGCTAATGATCTTCTTTTAGGCATTATGCCTGCAACTTGAGTAGCTGCCACTGATGAATGGTGGTGCCCGGCTGTGTTCCCGCTGCACAAATAGTCAGGTTCCTTCTAGGTGTAGGGCCAGGGAAGAAAGCTTGAGCATAGCCGGAATCCAGACAGTGGTGCCCCCTTGCTAAGAGAGACATCATTCATTCAGAGTCAGACAAATAATTTCTAATTGCTTGGGATAATGAATATGATTCAAATGGAGAGAAAATACAGACATACTTACCAATGCTGTGCTTTCCTTATATGAAATATCAACTGCTTCTTACTGCTTTGCCCTCATCTATGTTTTCTACACTGAGGAGAGACCTTTGTATTTTTCACTTATGCTTTGAAGTTTCAGATGTCAGGCTTTTGTTTAGAGGCAGTTTTTGCATGCACTCATTCCCTCTGTCAGCCTGCTGGCCATTTATTTGAAAGCAGCATCCAGAAGTGACTGTGGCAGATTAGTGGAAGGGCACAAATTGATCTTTTTTTTGGTGGGGCGGGGGGACAGGGTCTCACTCTGTCACCCAGGCTGGAGTACAGAGATGTGATCTCGGCTTGCTGCAACCTCTACCTCCTGGACTCGGGATCCTCCCACTGCAGCCTTCTGGGTAGCTAGGACTACAGGCATGTGCCACCACACCCAGCTAATTAAAAAAAAAATGTAGAGACAAGGTCTTACTGTATTGCCTAGGCTGGTCTCAAACTCCTGGGCTCAAGCAATCCTGCCTTCGCCTCTCAAAGTGCTGGGATTACAGGCATGAGCCACTGTGCCCGGCCAGCTGATCTTCTTAAGTGTGACTAACTAGCTCTTTCTACTCAGCCGCTGTTTATTTTTCTCTTTTCAAAATTAAAATCTATTTGGATTATCTCTACTGTAAAAATAATAATACAGAAAATCCTTATTATCAAAAATAAAAGACATTGGGAAAAATATCCCATCATGTGAAGATTCAGTCTCTGTTAACATTGTTAAGTGTTTCTTTTTTGTCTTTTTTTGTGCATTTAACTTTCTTTTTTTCCACAGGTCTGATTAGTTTTTAAGAAAATTATTACAGTTAAATATACATAGCCTAAAATTTGCTGTGTAACCATTTTTCCATATACTCTTCACCTGTTTTTAAAATAGGAACTAGTGCAGGGTGTGTTGGCTCCTGCCTATAGTCCCAGCACTTTGGGAGGCTGAGGCAGGTGGATCACTTGAGATCAGGAGTTTGAGACCAGCCTGGCCAATATGGTGAAACCCTGTCTCTACTAAAAGTATTAATACAAAAATCAGCCTTGTGTGGTGGCACACACCTGTAATCCCAGCTACTTGGGAGGCTGAGGCTGGAGAATTGCTCAAACTTGGGAGGTGGAGGTTGCAGTGAGCTGAGATCATGCCACTGCACTTCAGCCTAGGAAAAAGAGTAAGACTCCATCTCAGAAATAAATAAATAAATAATAAATTGTAAAAATAAATAAGTCAGAACTAATTCCCTGCAAGCAACAGCTTTTTCTTTTCATGTGTCTTCAACTTCGTTTTCTTTCCATGTCAGAACTGAAAAGTCATTGTTAACTGGTATCTGCCTGCATGCCCTCGTCTTCCATTTTCTCTGTAGTATGACATTGCCTTGGCAACTAAATGTGTATCACTCCAGCAAGCTCCCTCCCTGATGGTAGCAAGAGTTCAGAGCTGCGATAAATGTATTTTCTAAAAGTTCTGTGAATGGCTTATTGACAACTGAGCAACTTCAGGCTCCTTCTGGCCTGTATTCTTTCTGGCTGAAGATTCTGAACCACAGTTAGACAAAACAGTGCAGCTTTTGACACGGTATCATCGTGCTTTCCTCGCATCTTTTCTCAGGGCACTTGTAATTTTTAATGAAGCTAGAGGATACAGTATATAGCCCAGACGATTTAAGCTCAGAGTGTGAAATTGCAAGCACTCTGCCACCGGAGTGGGGATGTATTTTTGGTCACGGCCCCATCTAAGGATTCTTTAAAGAATAATTCACAATTCTGATTATTTGCTATTTCTTTAGATGACTTTGTGTATATGTTTTGCTTTTCCTTCTGTTCCAGGACCACCACTGCCCAGTTCAGGAAACGAGCAGCACTCATCAGCCTCCATCTTTGAGCACGTGGACAGGATCGCCCGCCCCCCGGAGGCTAGCCGGAGGGTCCCTAGTAAGATCCAGCTTATCGCCATGCAGCCAATCCCAGCACCCCCTGTGCAGCGCCCTTCCCCAGCTGATCGAGTGGCAGAAACCAATAAAATCAACAAAGAGGTATTTGCTTTTATTAAAAAGTCTGTTAATTAAAAAACTCACCTGGGCCCAGTGGCTCACGCTTGTAATCCTCACATTTTTGGAGGCCAAGGCAGGTGGATCATCTGAGGTGGGGAGTTCGAGCCTAGCCTACCCAACATAGTGAAACCCTGTTCCTACTAAAAATGCAAAATTAACCTGGCTTGGTGGCATGTGCCTGTAATCCCAGCTACTTGGGAGTCTGAGGCAGGAGAATCACTTGAACCCAGGATGGGGAGGTTGCAGTGAGCCGGGATCATGCCACTGCATTCCAGCCTGGGTGACAGAGTAAGACTCTATCTCCAAAAAAAAAAAAAACAACAACAAAAACAATTCACACTCTGACACTCTGATTTGGTCAGTGTTTGAAAATGAGTGCAAGTTACAGTATCAACTGGTTATTAAAGGCCTGAGCCGTTGACAAGGATTCTTAATGGAAAACCTCATGCTTGTTGGAGATCAGATACTGTGCATGGAACTGTGGGGCGCATTGGCAGACATGCAGAAAAGTGTTAGCGTGGCCGACCAGGGGCTGCTCTCCTCAGAAAGGGTCACTTCAGCTTCTGATCCTCCTCACGATAAGACCCAGTTCAGGTCTCCATCTTTGGGGATGACACTCTGGGGGGCAGGAGGGTCTCATGTCAGGGAACTTGTTTCAGTGACACTAGGTAATTATCTTCCTTATATCTTTCAGTCTTATTTAAAAATCTCTAAAGGAGGAGAATATTCTTGTCTCAGGGCATATTATATCTAGCTATCAGATGTGTCTTCAAAGTTGTCACCAGCAGATTTCCAAGGTTCGCGTGATTTTTCCCCCCTGCTTTCGGGAATGGTGACAAGACTCCAGTGCACCTTACCTGGGCTGTGCCTGTCACCCTCTTGGTGACTCTGTGGAACCTACAGACAGCAAATTAAGGGTGGGCGAGATAAGCAAAGCAGGAAGGCTTTCCTAAAAGGCTTTGCTGGCAGGCGTGGTGGCTAATGCTTGTAATCCCAGCACTTTGGGAGGTCAAGGCAGGCAGATCATTTGAGGTCAGGAGTTCAAGACCAGCCTGGCCTACATAGTGAAACCCTGTCTCTACTAAAAAATACAAAAAAAAAAAAAAAAAATGAGCCGGGCATGGTGGCAAGCGCCTGTAATCCCAGCTACTCTGGAGGCTGATACAGGAGAATCACTTGAACCCGGTAGGTGGAGGTTGCAGTGAGCTGAGATCACACCACTTACTCTAGCCTGGGCGGCAGAGTGAGACCCTGTCTCAAAAAAAAATACTTAAATAAAAATAATAAAAATAAATAAATGAAAGGCTTTGCGAAGGGTGTGTCCCAGAAGCCTCCCAGGACTTCCGCGGCTGTCGTTCTCTCCTGTCCCCCTTCCTCAGATTCAGACCGCGCTACGGCACAAGTCTGAGATCGAACACCACCGCAACAAGATCCGCCTGCGCGCCAAGCGCCGCGGCCACTACGAGTTCCCGGTAGTGGACGACCTGTCCTCTGGTGACACCAAGGAGCGGCACCGGGTGTACCGCAGGGCGCAGATGCAGATCGACAAGATCTTGGACCCCACGGCCAGCGTGCCCTCCGTGTTCATAGAGCCCAGAAAAAGGTGGGCTGGGAACAGCGCGTGCTTCGGGGGCACAGGAGCAGGACAGGAGCCCCTCTGCTGCTGCAGGGCCTGTGGCAGAAGGACCCCATCCGCGTTCACGTGGAGGTCACTGAAAATAGTTGAAGGGGTCCCTGCACTGAAGGGTGTGGAGGCCACTCGGAAGGCGACCTCTGGCTGAGGGTCACCTTGTCGTGGGAGATGTCGGCTTTGTTCTCACCTCTGCCCCTCTGCCTGCCTCGGGATTTTATCTGTCTCTTCCAATTGAGCTTATCTAAAACTGCACTCACCCTTTCCTTCCCACCCCGGCTCCTTCTGCGGCTTCCTCGGCTCTTCCTCGCCTCCCACTCTGTCACCTCCACTATTTTCATCTCCGGGAGCCGCCCAGGCTGGCGCCCAGCAGATCTGCATTGGTTTTCTCACAGCTGCCTGCAGGGTCTGGGGTCTCACCTTCCCCCAGCCTCCCAGCCTCCCGCCCCAATGTAGATGCATTTTCCTTAAACACGGCGCCCATACATGTCTTTCTCTGCCCAAAACCCGGAGTGGCTCTGGTTGCCTGCCAGGTGAGACCTGTGTACCTGTCGAAGGCTGGCCCTGCCCCTCCACTCCAGCTGTTTTCCATGGGTCAGCCACACGGACAGAACCACCGCCCAGGAGACCACCTGGTAGTCCCTGGGCATTCACCTGCCTGCGGTTTCTGCCCCTGGCACCTGCTTCCCACATCCCTCCCTGGCTGCAGGTCCTGTTCACTCTCTAAGACGCCGTTCCAGCCCATGGGGCTAAGAGTCCCACTGACCTCACCTTTTCTGAACGTCTTTACGGCTAAATGGTGTCATGATTGTAGAGGGCTTCCTGTCATTCTGGGTTGCTCCCCGTGGGTTAATAGGTCTGTTTGGGTAGGTGCTGAGCTTCCTTAGAGCAGAGGCTGCGTTGTAGGCACCGTTTATATCCTAGAGGGTATTTATTCCAGTGACCAGCGCATGCTGGGTGCTCAGGGTACTTAATGTTTAGTTGATAAACCAGTGGCAAAAGAATTATTTCCTACAAAGATAATTTCTTTTTCTTGGCAGCTCACGGATAAAACGTTCTCCCAAGCCTCGCCGGAAACACCAGGTCAATGGCTGTCCTGCTGATGCTGAGAAGGACAGGCTCATCACCACGGACAGCGATGGCACCTACCGGAGGCCCCCTGGCGTCCACAACTCGGCCTACATCGGATGCCCAGTGCGTGCCGCTGACTCCGGCTTCTGAAACCAGGGCAGGGTGGGACAAGGTGGGGCAAGGTGGGGCAGGGCGGGGCAGCTCCTAGAAGATACGCCAAAGAGGGAGGAGAAGCAGCCCGGGCTGCTGCCCTGTGTGATGTCCACACCTGACGGCTGATGCGCCAGGGCCGTCTAGGTCATGAAGTGGGTGGGGTGGCCACCCCTTCTAAGGGGAGACTTGAGTCCTGTCAACCAGGGTGCTGCCGAGTGCCACCTCTGGAAACACACTCTGTGTTTTTCCACTTTATATGTAAGCCCTCCTCTCTCAGACTTCACAATGGGACATGTTTGAGGTTAACTGGAAAACAGAGAGCGAGAGAGAAATATCCTAAAGGTTTTTTTCCTTTTCCCTAGTCAGAGGGTTATTTGGTTTTGTTGTTGTTGTTGTTGTTTTGTGAGACAGGGTCTTACTCTGTTGTCCAGGCTGGAGTGCAGTGGTGTGATCAAGGCTCACTGCAGCCTCAACCTCCTGGGCTCAAGTGATCCTCCCACTTTAGTCTTCTGAGAGCTAGGACCACAGTTGTGCGCCACCATACCCAGCTAATTAAAAAAATTTTTTTGTAGAGATGGGGTCTCAGCATGTTGCCCAGGCTGGTCTCAAACTCCTGGCCTCAAGTGATCCTCCCGCCTTGGCCTCGCACAGTGCTAGGATTACAGGTGTGAGGGCATGACCCTGAGATCAAGAGTCTCATGCTGTACTGACTGAGCTAGCCCAGCTGGGTTTCCTAATGGGAGGAGGGATATTTAGGGTTTTATTTCCCTGTACTGTCCTTGGAGTGCTAACGAGATAGTGTATTTGCTTATATATATTTTACTTTTATGGGAGAAAGAGGTTAACGGAAACTAAGAAATAATGAACGGTGGCTCACACCTGTAGCACCAGCACTTTGAGAGGCCGAGGTAGGCGGATTGCATGAGCCCAGGAATTGGAGACCAGCCTGGGCAATATAGCAAAACCCTGTCTCTCCGAAAACTGCAAAAATTAGCCAGGTGTGGTGGTGCATGCCTGTAATCCTAACTACTTGGGAGGCTAAGGTGGGAGAATTGCTTCAGCCCAGAAGGTTGAGGCTGCAGTGAGATTTTTGCACCATTGCACTCCAGCCTGGGTGACAGAGCAAGACCCCGGCTCTAAATAAATAAATAAATAAATAAGGGATTTTTTTTTTTTTTTTTTTAAGATGGGGTTTCACTATGTTGGTCAGGCTGGTCATGAACTCCCGACCTCAGGTGATCCGCCCACCTTGGCCTCCAAAGTGCTTGGATTACAGGCATGAGCCACCACGCCCAGCCAGGGATTTTTTTTTTTCTAAATTAACAGAGGTCCAGACAACTTTGCTTCAAGTGTTAAAGGCAGATGTTGATAGCATAAGATGCATACACACAGACTGCACTGAGTAGGGGAGAGAGAACCAGCCTCACTTAATGCCCATGAGAAATACAGACACAAAGACACCCCAAGACAGAGAGGACAAGCCAGGTACAGCTAACCTCGGCAGCACTGGAAAACAAAGGGCATCCTGAACTCCGTGCCGGGAGAGCCCTGCCTTGCTGCAGCAGGGCCCTCTCTCCTCCTAGAGGTACCCACAGGGCCAGCCTTGTTTAGAGACATGTTAGCAAAAAAGTACACCCTTCCAGAAGGGATTCACGATGGATGCGATTGCTTTAGATAGAGCTTATGCGAGCAGCCATGTCTTAGTTGAGTTTGTATTTTTCTCCTAAATTATACAACTAACAAGCACTTAAAGATGCTAAATATAATTACACAAATACTAGATATACTGAGTATATATAGTATACTATACTGAGATGGGGCCTAAATACAACTGAATTATGATCATCTGAAAGAACCAGACTTTTCTTTAGGAACTTACAGTATTTCTAGGCTCCTGAAGACCGACCTTCTTGATCTCCTCATGAGGATCGGTGCGATTCCAGAGTTGGGCCCTCTATTAAAAAACTGCTTTCTTCCTCAGAATGAATTGAATAGTTCCTGTTACTTTCTAGATGTAGTGCTTGCCTGCTCTTACAGCAGGTGGCGCTCTTGTGCTGTGTTGGGTTTTGGGGGCATTTGGGCATCCGTGGGGTTTGGCTTGATCTGGGAAGGGCTTCCCAGGGTTGTCACCCGGAGCTTTTGTCTGTGCCAAGTGGAGGCTTGGTGTGGTGTGGAACTAACAGAAGGGGCAGCCTTCCTTCTTCCCCTTCACTTCCCCAGCCAACCTCGGCTCCTCTTTCAAAGGAATCTGTGGGGAGCCTTCTCAGCCCCCTCCCTTTGATTTTTTAAATGCTTGAGTTTTCTGTGGGGAGGAACCTGTCTTCATTTGCCTGCCTCAGTGACCCTAGATCAAGCTTCTTTCACGGCGGCTTGCACCATCCTTTTTTCTTCCTTTTTTCCTAGCAGAGAGTGCAGATTCCTCCTCCTGTGGGTGCAGAGCAGCTTTTCCTGGAAAACACCACCCCAGAGGCTGCTTGCCTTTAGCGACTCCTTCTTTCACAGATTTCCCCAAAATAAAAATCTTCCTCAGATTTTGAATTCTGAAACACTTACTTTCAAAGATAATGCCTTTCTCAGAAATCATCTTTTCTTAGGTAGTTTATCTTCCAGCACCGCCCCCAACCACAAACTTTTATTAGAGAATCAGTGGTACATGTACAGGTTTTTTTTTTCCATCTTCAAGCCTATACTAGGGAAGTGCTATGTGTTTTTGAATTACATTGAATTTTCCACTTTCCCTTCAAAGATACCTTCTCCTTAAGGGCTCTGTTCTCCTAAGGCCAAGAGAAATATTCCTTGGTTCCTTTTTTTTTCAGACAGAGTCTCACTCTATTGCCAGGCGCCATACAAAGTTCAGTGGCACAATCTCGGCTCACTGCAACCTCCGCCTCCCAGCTTCAAGCAATTCTCCTGCCTCAGCCTCCCAAGTAGCTGGGACTACAGGCACACGCCACCACACCCAGCTAATTTTTGTATTTTTAGTAGAGACGGGTTTTCACCATGTTGGCCAGGATGGTCTCGATCTCTTGACCTGGTGATCCGCCCACCTCGGCCTCCCAAAGTGCTGGGATTACAGGCTTGAGCCACCGCGCCTGGCTCCTTGGTTCCTTGTAATGAGTGTTACTATTATAATTCAGGCCTCACTGGAAATCCAACCAGCTGCCTTTTTTTGTAAGTAAATTTTCTTTTTTTGAGACACTTCAGCTTTGTTGCCCGGGCTGGAGTGCCGTGGCGCAGTCACAGCTCACTGCAGCCTCGATCTCCCCAAGCTCAGGTGATCCCCCACCTAAGCCTCCCAAGTAGCTGTGATTACAGGTGCATGCCACCTCGCATGGCTGATTTTTACATTTTTAGTAGATCTGGAGTTTTGCCAGGTTGCACAGGCTGGTCTCAAACCCCTGGGCTCAGTGATCCCCCTGCCTTGGCCTCCCAAATTTCTGGGATTATAGACATGAGCCAACCAAGCCTGGCCTAAATAAAGTTTTATTGCAACAACCACACCCATTTGTTAGCTTGATATCAATGACTGTTTTTGCTGCAAGGCAGAGGTGAGTAGTTGTGACAGACTGTATGACTCCTAAAACCTAAATATTTATTGTCTGGTCCTTTACAGAAAAAGTTTGATGTGAGTTATCATCCAATCCAGACACTTTTGAAAGTGTAAGGGGGTGTGCTAAATCGTAGTGGGACAGCAGGCATAAGCTGAGGTGGTCCTGGGCAACCAGGCTGTGTGATCACTCTTACAACACCCACAAAGGATGGCAGAATTGGCGCCAAAATACGTAACTTTGACGACTGACAGTAAAAACATGCAAATTTCTTTCTGAAGAATGATAGATAGACTGGATCTGAACACGTCTCTGTGAAACATCTATATTCTAAATATAGATGTTAGAATATAGAAAATTGAGTAAAACCTCTTCTCGGCCTGTAAGTTCTGACAGTCTTGCCTGCAAAATGAGGAGAAAACAGGAAGAGGAAGGAGAGGAAGCAGAAGCGTCCTGGCCCAAGCGCTCCCGACCTTCTGGCAGGATTCATGGGGCCCAGTGGGAATCCAAGGGCACCATCCTTCCCATCTGCAGGTCGTCTCTCTCGTATAGAAGTGTAGCCTTCTCTGAAATTCTGGCTGCCAAGAATGAGATTGGCGGTGGTTGTAGCCGCTGGGGGCTCTCCTGAAGCATCTGAGATCCTTTCCCACAGTGGAATCTCAGTTTCACCTGCAGTTTTTTGATCACCATACTGCAGTAGAGCCACACAGGCAGCCACCGGAATCACCGCCAGGAATGTCGCTTCTGTCTCTGGAGAAACCCTCTTACTTATCAGTAGGCTGTTCTTCCAGACACGCCCTCCCTTCTTTCCACCCGTGAGCCGTAGGTTGATGGTACGTTGCTGACCAGGGTTCCTCATCTGCTCCTCAAGAAAATCAAGAATTGGAGAAGGGCCTGACTGTGGACCTTAATCCCCCATAAGAAAGGAGCACAGGTTCCTTCCAAAATGACATCATCAACCAGAGGCCACCTTGGGGCTCCACATTGTCACTTAGAATTCCTCAAGGACAAATCTCATTTAGTGGAACCTCTACTGGGATATTGCATTTGGGGGAAATGGACTCATAAGCCCAAGCGTGTCACGTGCATGAGAGGGAGGTCGCCGGTGGAGACTGCCGTGGAGAGAAGAGCAGAGCACCTACCCCACCCCACGAGGGCAGTCGCTGCTTCCTGGCAGCTGGTGGTTCCTGTGTGGAGTGAGGGCCTGGTCATGCCGGAGCCTCAGACTCTACCAAGAGATCCCAGCAGTCTGAGTGTTAATATGAAATCTCCAGATGTTTAAAATAATGGTTATCCATGAAAAGAGTATGCAGGCCAATTAAAACCTGTCTGTGGGCTGACCGTGGTTTGACAAGTTTGGTTCAGTCTCAGTTTGGAGTTAAGAACCTCCTGGCCCCGACGCTGGCAGGAATAATAACTGATCACCTGTTAGGAAGCATTTTCCAGACAGGGGGCTAAGGTTAAAGATATGTCTGTGGAGTAGTTTATCTTTGTAGTAGACTCATTGATCCAGACGGTAAGGGAATGTCTTCCTTGGCCCCTTGAGTACAATGGTCCAGCTCGCTGGGCTAAAGTGCAGGCACGCAGCAAGTGAAGCGTTCTAGGTAGAAGCTGCCCATCCTTCCTTACAGGGGATAGGGTTCCCAGCCCCTCGAGCAGAACCTCTTCTCCCCTCACTGTGTCTGCTGTCGTCACCTTGCTGTTTGGGCTTATGGAGCCTGTAAGACCAGAAAGGACTCTCCATCCATTGGTTCCCAATTTTGTCTCTTGCAGTTTGCCCAGTGTAGATTAGATTACGACCATGTTTTGCTCGTAACAGTATTGAGAAATGAGATTTTTTTTTTCTTTTCTTTGTTTTGAGACAGAACCTTACTGTGTCGCCAGGCTGGAGTGCAGTGGTGCAATCTCTGCTTGCTGCAACCTCCACCTCCTGGGTTCAAGCGAGTCTTCTGCCTCAGCCTCCCAAGTAGCTGGGACTACGGGTGCATGCCACCACACCCAGCTAATTTTTGTATTTTTAGTAGAGATGGAGTTTCATCATGTTGGCCAGGATGGTCTTGATCTCTTGACCTCATGATCCGCTCACCTCGTCCTCCCAAATTGCTGGTATTACAGGCATGAGCCACCACACCTGGCCTCAAAATAAGATTTTAAAAAATCTTTATTGTTACTTATATTCCTACGTCTTAAACAGTAGGTAGAGAACATAATTGAAACCTTTCTTAATGACTCATGTGATCCAGAGATACCTTCATTTTAAAGACAAATGGTTCTGAATAGTTTTCGTAAAATATTGTAATTGCTTACACAATATACTGGACTCTTTTTTTAAGAGTCTAGGGTGCTTGCTTCAGCAGCACATATACTAAAATTGGAATGATACAGAGAAGATTAGCATGGCCCCTGTGTGAGGATGACATGCAAATTCGTGAAGTTTTCCATAGAAAAAAATTAAAAAAAAAAAAGAGTCTAGGTCTCTCTGTCGCCCAGGCTGGGGTGCAGTGGGGCAGTCAGCTCACTGCAACCTCCACCTCCTAGGCTCAGGAGATTCTCCTGCCTCAGTCTCACGAGTAGCCGGGCCTGCAGGTGCTCACCACCACCCTCAGCAAACTTTTAAGCAATTTTTGGTAAAGATGGGGGTTTTGCTATGTTGCCTAGGTTAGTTTCAAATTCCTGGCCTCCCTGGAAATGACCCTCCTGCCTTGGTCTCCCATGTTGCTGGGATTACAGGTGTGAGCCACTGTACCCAGCCCACATACATAGTTTTAATATGCATAATTTAAAAAGTTTTGATCTTTTAAGGGTATGTAAGGCTATTTTCTAACAGTCAATAGACTGCTTTACTTTTTGGCTTCTATTTATGGAAAATTTACTAGTTTTTTTCATTATGTATACTTTGAAATACATTTTTTGGCTGTTTAGGAGCTTTCAGTAAAAATGTTCACTTCCAGGCACCGAAATGCTTTGTAAATAGAGTGTTATTGAAAAACTGACTGTTGAATCTTGCCAATGTTTTTCTGATTGAAGCCTCTCCATTCCTTCCCATGAAATGTAATGCACATTCCTCAGATGTAATTTTTTAAATTTTCTTGAGACAGGGTCTCACTCTGTCATCCAGTCTGGAGTACAATGAGGTGATCATAGCTCACTGCAACCTCAAATTCCTGGGCTCAAGCTATCCTTTCACTTCGCCTCCCAAGTAACTGGGACTACAGGTGCACATGACCATACGTGGCTAATTTCTTTCTTTTTTTCTTTTTTTTTTTTTAGAGCTGGGGTCTCACTATGTTGCCCAGGCTGGCCTTGAACTCCTGGCCTCAAGTGCTCCTCCTCCTCAGCCTCCCAAAGTCTTGGGATTCAAGGTGTGAGCCATTGTGCACAGCCTCAACTGTCATTTTTTAATTCTTAGGACAGAATTTTTCCTCAGTGTCAGGAAAACTGTTTAGGGTTGCCAAAAAAACTCATGTGTGATTCTTCCTTTGCCATTTCCCACTGTAGTCGGATCCTGACCTCCCAGCCGATGTGCAGACGCCATCCTCAGTGGAACTGGGGAGGTATCCAGCCCTTCCCTTCCCGGCCTCCCAGTACATCCCGCCCCAGCCATCCATTGAGGAGGCACGCCAGACCATGCACTCCCTCCTGGACGACGCCTTTGCCCTCGTGGCCCCCAGCAGCCAGCCTGCCAATGCCGCAGGTGCGGGCCCAGGAGTCCCACCCGGCCTGCCCGTGAACAGCACCCCTTCCCGGGAAGAGAGGCGAGCCACCCAGTGGGGGTCTTTCTACAGCCCAGCCCAGACGACCAACAACCCCTGCAGTGTAAGTACTGGCCTAAAATTCTCTGGTGGGCAAGATGTTAAAGCTTTGTTGCCTGACTGCCTCACTTTGAAGCTCCACACACAACTGTGGCTGCATTTGATAAGAATTAAAACATGGATGATGGGTCTTAGTTTTGATCTTCTACTAAATTAATTCTTAATGTTGGAAGTATCCTTTTATGCAGGTTTACAGGCTCATGCCTGTAATCCCAGCAATTTAGGAGCCCAAGGCGGGAGGACCTCTGCTTTGCAGAGGAATGGAGGGGGATTTTATGGAAGCTTCTTTCTGGGTTCCTCACAGTGTCACAGAATGGAGGTGGGATAACTGTCGAATGCATCCTTGTTGATGTCTCCAGAAAAGTTGCAGTTTAGAATGTATCCAGATCGTTCAGCTTCTTGTACAGCCACCTGGTACTGGAGAGACCCCTGAGGTCCTGGGACTGTAGGCAGCTAGTCCCCATGTGGGCAGTGACGGCTACCTTCAAATGTCAGCTTCCCATCTTAGGGGTTGACATTTCAGCATTTCGTCTGCCTTGGTTATCATTTATGTTTTCCTTAGGCAGTCCTTTCAAATTTACCTTCCTGTGACACAGAGAAGTAAAATTCAAGGAAGTAAAGCTAACATTATTTTCTGCTAATTTCAGATGAAATGATTGGACTAAGATTTGACACTGAAGAGAAGCTAATAGGTCATGGTATGAATTTATTAGACAGGGAGTGTCCACCTTGTGATGGTGAAATTGAGTGGCAATAAACATATGGTAAAATATTTTTTACCTCTGAAATGGGTTTGAATTTTCAAAGTAGGCCTTTAGCAATAGCTTGTCTCCTTTGGGGCATAGGAGGCATGGAGCCTACAGTATGGGTAACTGCTGTCATGTGGGGTGGGGTGGGAATACCAGTCAATCGAATCATTCTTGTTTTTAATTTTAAAATATAGCTTGTTCCAACAGATATCTTCAAAATTACAACTGATTTATAATTCAGGAAATGTGTGGTACAGAGCAAACCTCGGTGATAAATAAGCGTGGATACTGCTGCCATCTGGTCACTAAACTTTTCTCATTTGCTTATCCAGTCAAATATATTTACACAGCACCGGCTGGATTGCAGGTCCTCTGCTTGGGTGCTGGAGATAGAGTAGTGCCCAGTACAGACCCCTGTCCTCTGGTTTTTGCAATCCATTGGAGGCTCTGAGACGATCAAGGCTCTGTGGACGATTACTCTGTGTAATTCCAGTGCAGCATGGAAGGTGCCATGGCGCGAGGATGTGATGGGGGAGGGGCATCTCGCAGAGCCTTGAGGTCTTTTGCGAAGGACTTTTCTGGACAAAATAGCATCTCTGTGGAAGTCTCAAGGATAATCAGTGGTTGTCAGTTGAAGAATGTTGCAGGTGGTGGGAAGTATAGCAGAGGCACAGAAATTAAAGTGTATGGGACAGGCTTCTTTTGGACAAGAGGGAGGAACACAGCCTGGGTTTAACTTCCTGAAACATGAAAACACTGAAAGGAGGGCTGGCCGCAGTGGCTCATGCCTGTAATCCCAGAACTTTGGGAGGCCGAGGCAGGTGAATCACGAGGTCAGGAGTTCAAGATCAGCCAGGCCAAGATGATGAAACCCCGTCTCTACTAAAATACAAAAAATTAGCTGGGCATGATAGTGCATACCTGTAATCCCAGCTACTTGGGAGGCTGAGGCAGAGAATTGCTTGAACCCAGGAGGTGGAGGTTGCAGGGGCCGAGATCACATCACTGTACTCCAGCCTGGGCGAAAGAGTGAGACTCAGTCTCAAAAAAAAAAGGAAAACAAAAACATTGAAAGGAGTATCTGGGTGACATGACATTAGACATTAGGCAAGAAGGGACAGGTATCAATGAGAAGTGAACTGAGCCCTCCAGTTGTTCCAGCTTATGTCTGAAGTTTGTATTCATGGTGCAGGGGCTAGCACCCCAGGCAGAGCCCCGTGGTCTCCCTGAGTTGAAGAAATGGAGTTTGGAAGTCTGGGGAGGAAAAGGCAGCTGCAGTTCACAAGAGAGAGTACAGGAAAGGAGAGAGATGCCCTGAGCAGGATTGTAGGCATCTGCAGAGAACCTTTGAGTACTGATTGGTTTATGGGTACACAGAAGCTACCCAAAAGAGCCCCCCAAAAAGATCAGAAAAAACAATCCTCAAAACTCACACAGGCCTGGGAATAAGCTGTTGCTATGATTGAACTGTGTCCTCCCCAAAATCACAAGTTGAAGCCGTAACCCCCCCGCCCACCGTGACTGCATTGGAGATAAGGGCCTTTAGGGAGGCGATTAAGAGTAAATGAGGCTGTAGGGGTAGAGTCCCCATTCAATAGAACGGCTGCCCTTAGAAGATGAGGAAGAGACTCCAGAGCTCTCTGTCCAGCCAGGTTAGGACACAGAGAAGGCAACTATCTGCAAGCCAGGAAGAAAGCCCTCACCTGAAACTGAACACTGCCAGACGTTGATGTAAGACATTCCAGCCTCCACAACTACCAGAAAATAAGTTTCTGTTGTTTTAATCCACCAGTTCTAAGGTATTTTGTTATGGCAGCCTGAGCAGGTGAATACAGTTTCTTTCCCAGCAGTCAGTGGAAATTGCATGATTCACACAACATCAGTTAGAGCACTCGGAAGCATTTTGCCTTAAAGCTGCTCTGGCTCCACCTAACAAACCACAAAAGCATGACATCTAAACCCAAGTAAAACTCAAGAATATTTATAGAAACACAAAAATATGCAGCAGTCAGTAAGGTGAAATTAATAACGTCTGCATCAAATCAAAGTAAACAAATGAAGAAGCAGGAAAGTGACACAGATGATAGAATGAGCAGACAAGCGGTGTGCAGTGGCTCACACCTGTAATCCTGGCACCTTGGGAGGCTGAGGCAGGAGGATTATTTGAGCCCACGACTAACCTGGGCAACACAGTGAGACTGTTTCTACAAAAAAATATAAAAATTAGCTGAGCACTACTTAGGAGGCTAGGGTGGGAGGATCACTTGAGCCTGGGAGGCTGAGGCTACAGTGAGCCATGATTGCACCACTGCATCCCAGCCTGGGTGACAGAGCAAGACCCTGTCTCACACAAAAAAAAAAAAGAAAAAAAAGAACTAGTAGACAGGATATTAAAAGAATTCTTACAATGGAGTTCCATAGATTAAAGAAGCTAGAGGAAAGAGTGTACACATTAACTAGAAGCATTGAAAATATTAAAGTACAAAAATCAAGCTTAGAGATAAAAACTACAGTCTCTGAGATAAAAAATATACTGGATGGGATTGAAGGCAGATTGCATATTGCAGAAGAAAAAATTAGTGGGCTGTAGTAAGAAAAACAGTATGGTAGTGGCATAAAAACAGAAACATGGACCAGTGGAACAGAACAGAGAGCCCACAGATAAATCCAGACATATATGGTCAACTAACTTTTGACAAGGGCGCCAAGAGGACACAATGGGGAAAGGACAGTCTTTTCAGTAAAGGATGAGGGGAAAACTAGATTCCCACATGCAAAAAGAATGAAGTTGGACTCCTGTACACAAAAATCAACTCAAAATGAATAAAAGACCTACGTGTAAGAACCGAATTATAAAACTCCCAGAAGAGAACATGGGAGAAAACCTCTTTGATATTGACCTTGGCAATGATTTTTTGGATATCACACCAAAAGCTCAGGTTATAAAAGCAAAAATAAATAAATGGTACTGCATCAAATGAAAAAGCTCTGCACAGCAAAGGAAAACATTGAAAATGTTTCAGTGAAAAAGGCAACCTACGGAATGGAAAAGAATATTCATATACCACATATCTGATAAGGACTTAGTATCGAAAATTTATTTAAAAAAACTCTTACAACTCAATAGTGGAAAAATAAATAATCCAATTTAAAAATGGGCAAAGGATTTGAACAGACATTTTTCCAAAGAAGACATGAAAATGACCAACAGGTATATGAAACAGTGTTCAACATCACTAGTCATCAGGGAAATACAAATTAAAACCTCTGTGAGGCTGGGTGCAGTGGCTCACACCTGTAAGTAATCCTAACACTTTGGGAGGCTGAGACAGGCAGATTGCTTGAGCTCAGGAGTTCAAGACCAGTCTGGCTAATATGGTGACACCCCGTCTCTACTAAAAATACAAAAATTAGCTGGGCATGGTGGTACATGCTGGTAATCCAGCTGTTGAGGTGGTTGAGGCACAAGAATCATTTGAACCCAGGAGGCAGAGGTTGCAGTGAGCCAGGATCATGCCATTGCACTCCAACCTGGGTGACAGAGCAAGACTGTCTCAAAACAAAACAAAACCCTTGAGGAGATACTGCCTCACACTTGTTAGAATGAGTATTATCAAAAAAGTTAAGAAATAATAAATGTTAGCGAGGGTGTGGAGAAAAGGGAACCCTCATACCCTGTTAATGGCAATGTAGATTGGTATAGCCATTATGGAAAATAGTGTAGAGATTCCTAAAGAAGTTAAAAATAGAACTACCATATGACCCAGCAATCCCTGTTCCTGGTGTGTACCCAAAGAAGGTAAAATCACCATATTTTAATGATATCTGCATTCCCATGTTCATTACTGCACTATTCACAATAACCAAGATGTGAAAATAACCTGAGCATCCATTGATGGATGAATGGATAAAGAAAATGTTGCGTATGTATACAATGGAATATTATTTATCCTTTAAAAAGGAGATCCTGCTATTTGCTACAACATGGATGGATCTGGAAGATATTATGCTAAGTGAAATAAGCCAGAAACAGAAAGAAAAACATTGCATGATGTCACTTACATGTGAAATCTTAAAAAAAAAAAAAAAAGTACTAGAGGTGGGAGGGGAAAGGAAGGGAGATGGAGATCAAAGGATACAAAGTGGGGGATGTGTAGGATAAACAAGTCTAGAGCTCTAAAGTACCAAATGAGGACTATAGTTAATAAAATGTGATTATAGTGGGGATTTTGTTAAATAAGTAGATTTTAGCTAC